CAATTAATTAAGTCTAAGCTTCATTAGCAGAAACAGAAACGGCCATAACTTCACATGGAGACAAAAGAGAGGGGGGATAAAAAGACAAGTAAAGAAAGAAGAGAACCCACTCTGATGGAGCCTGTCTGTCATAATGTACAGAAGACAACAACAGCTCTGTCCCTGTCCCAGAAGACAACAACAGCTCAGTCCCTGTCCCAGAAGACAACAACAGCTCTGTCCCTGTCCCAGAAGACAACAACAGCTCTGTCCCTGTCCCAGAAGACAACAACAGCTCTGTCCCTGTCCCAGAAGACAACAACAGCTCTGTCCCTGTCCCAGAAGACAACAATAGCTATGTCCCTGTCCCAGAAGACAACAATAGCTCTGTCCCTGTCCCAGAAGACAACAATAGCTCTGTCCCAGAAGACATTTACATTTTTAGTCATTTAGCAGACACTCTTATCCAGAACGACTTACAGTTAGTGAGTGCATAAATGTTTCTTTCATACTGGCCCCCAGTGGGAATCGAACCCACAACCCTGGCGTTGCAAGCGCCATACTCTACCAATTGAGCTACAGGAGGCCTGATAAGACAACAATAGCTATGTCCCAGAAGACAACAATAGCTATGTCCCAGAAGACAACAACAGCTCTGTCCCTGTCCCAGAAGACAACAACAGCTCTGTGTCACGATCGTCTTCAAAATGAGCGGACCAAGGCGCAGCGTGATAAGCGTACATACTTTATTAAGTAAAGCGCACACACGAAAACGAAACAAAACACGATCGTAACGTCCTCAGTGACTACTACTGAACAGGAACACGTAACATAGAACAATGGAACAAAAACCCACAACCACAAAGTGAAAACACACAGTTTAAATATGGCTCCCAATCAGAGATAACGAGCCGACAGCTGACACTCGTTACCTCCGATTGGGAGTCATTGACCAATCACCACTAAACACAAACAAATGAAACACACCCATCCCCAACACCACCAAATGAAATACACCCTGGCTCTAACACACAGTCCCGGAGCCAGAGTGTGACAGTACCCCCCCCCAAAGGCGCGGACTCCGACCGCGCCTAACCCAAAAAATGGGGAGGGCTGGGTGGGTGTTGTTCCTCGGAGGCGGCTCTGGCACTGGTCGTGGTCCCCACCCCACCATAGTCACTACCCGCTTTAGTAGCCTCCTCCATTTGACCACCCTACAACCTAACCCACCTGGATTAAGGGGCAGCACCGGACTAAGAGGCAGCACCGGACTAAGGGGCAGCACCGGACTAAGGGACAGCACCGGACTAAGGAGCAGCACCAGGATAAGGAGCAGCACCGAGCTAAGGGACAGCACCGGACTAAGGCGGATCCTGGCTGGCTGGCGGATCCTGGCTGGACGGCTCTGGCGGATCCCGGCTGGACGGCTCTGGCGGATCCCGGCTGGACGGCTCTGGCGGATCCCGGCTGGACGGCTCTGGCGGATCCCGGCTGGACGGCTCTGGCGGATCCCGGCTGGACGGCTCTGGCGGATCCCGGCTGGACGGCTCTGGCGGATCCCGGCTGGACGGCTCTGGCGGATCCCGGCTGGACGGCTCTGGCGGATCCCGGCTGGACGGCTCTGGCGGATCCTGGCTGGACGGCTCATGGCTGGCTGACGGATCTGGCTGCCCATGGCTGGCTGACGGATCTGGCTGCTCATGGCTGGCTGACGGATCTGGCTGCTCATGGCTGGCTGACGGATCTGGCTGCTCATGGCTGGCTGACGGATCTGGCTGCTCATGGCTGGCTAACGGATCTGGCTGCTCATGGCTGGCTGACGGATCTGGCTGCTCATGGCTGGCTGACGGATCTGGCTGCTCATGGCTGGCTGACGGATCTGGCTGCTCATGGCTGGCTGACGGATCTGGCTGCTCATGGCTGGCTGACAGATCTGGCTGCTCATGGCTGGCTGACGGATCCTGGGGACGCACACAAGGCCTAGTGCGTGGTGCCGGAACTGGTGGTCCCGGGCTGAGGACACGCATCTCAGGGCTAGTGCGGGGAGCAGCAACAGGACGCACAGGACTCTGGGGACACACAGGAGGCTTGGTGCGAATAGCCGGAACGGGCTGGACCAGGCTGGCGACTCGCACCCCTGGTTTGGTGCGAGTGGCAGGAACAGGCCGGGCCGGGCTGGCGACGCACACCGTAGGCTCCGTACGTGGCACAGGAACCGGCCGGGCTGGGCTGGCGACGCACACCGTAGGTTTCCTACGTGACGCAGGGACAGGCCGGGCTGGGCTGGCGACGCACACCGTAGGCTTCGTACGTGGCGCAGGAACAGGCCGGGCTGGGCTGGCGACGCACACCGTAGGCTTCCTACGTGGCGCAGGGACAGGCCGGGCTGGGCTGGCGACGCACACCGTAGGCTTCGTACGTGGCGCAGGAACAGGCCGGGCTGGGCTGGCGACGCACACCGTGGGCTTGACGCGTGGAGTAGACACAGGCCGGTCCGTACTGGGAACACACACCACTGGCCTTAACCGGGGCTCAGGAACGGGCCGGCCCGGACTGGTAACAAACTTCAGTCTCTCACGCCGTGCCACAACAACTTCCCTCCCTCTACTCGCCAATGGCTCCCGTACTCCGGTAGCCTTCTCTCCACGTCTACCTGTGGCAGCCTCCTGCTGCCCAGCCGCCCAAGCCATGTGCCCCCCCCAAAAAATTTCTTGGGGTTGCCTCTCGTCCTTCCGACGATGGCCCTGCCGACGCCGTTGCTCCTCTCTCCGTCGCCTCTCCACAGTTTCGCTCCATGGACGGCGATCCATCCCATCCAGGATCTCCTCCCAAGTCCAGGACCCTTTTCCGTCCAAAATCTCCTCCCATGTCCAGACCCTAGGCTCCTGGACACGCTGCTTGGTCCTTTGATGGTGGGTTTTTCTGTCACGATCGTCTTCAAAAGGAGCGGACCAAGGCGCAGCGTGATAAGCGTACATACTTTATTAAGTAAAGCGCACACACGAAAACGAAACAAAACACGATCGTAACGTCCTCAGTGACTACTACTGAACAGGAACACGTAACATAGAACAATGGAACAAAAACCCACAACCACAAAGTGAAAACACACAGTTTAAATATGGCTCCCAATCAGAGATAACGAGCCGACAGCTGACACTCGTTACCTCCGATTGGGAGTCATTGACCAATCACCACTAAACACAAACAAATGAAACACACCCATCCCCAACACCACCAAATGAAATACACCCTGGCTCTAACACACAGTCCCGGAGCCAGAGTGTGACACTCTGTCCCTGTCCCAGAAGACAACAACAGCTCTGTCCCTGTCCCAGAAGAGAACAATAGCTCTGTCCCTGTCCCAGAAGAGACCAATATCTCTGTCCCTGTCCCAGAAGACAACAATAGCTCTTTCCCTCAGATCTGTTTTATCTTCAGTCAAACTATCATTATGATGACAGACAGTGTATGTGTGTGTGTGTGTGTGTGTGTGTGTGTGTGTGTGTGTGTGTGTGTGTGTGTGTGTGTGTGTGTGTGCGTGTGTGTGTCTGACTAGTCCCATCATTATCTACACACACTAGATTACCTAAATCCTCTAATCTCTGCATGCTAGCTCTCATTGCTAAAGTATTCAACATGTATTCATTATGTGGACTTGCGACGTCATGCTAACTCCCACAATAGGATGTCGACTGTCTGCTCTGGATCCTGCATGTTAGGGTGAGACGGGGAGACAGACAGACAGACAGACACATTCACTGCACCCGTCAGATAATAACTTTTTTTCAGTGCTCGATGATCGATGAACCAAAAGCATCTGACATCTATCTAAACATCTGACATATTCATGATAGCCCTGACCTTTTGCTAGAGGATTCCGTCACTGTCATCTGTGCTCTTTGGACTGTCAGAGTTTGACAGTAGGCACGTTCATGAGTTTATGTTCGTGGACATTTTCATTATACCTTTTAACTTTTTTGAAACTAACTTTGCCTTTCATTCAGAATGTTGACAACCTGGGTGCTAGGCCTGTTTCTTCCTTAGCCAATGACTGTAGCTACACAAGAGATCTAGACAGGAGTTAGATAACTAAGTGCTTGTGGAGGTGAATGGAGGTCCGGAGTCCATGGTGAACAGCTGTGTGACTACAGTTTCCCACAGAGCCTCTGTCTCCTGATAGAAACAGGTGGGTGTCTGGCTCTGTACAGAGCCAAAATGGACGCCATGACATGGATGTGGATTAAGGCAGCCCCCTGCACCTCTCTGATTCAGAGGGGTTGGGTTAAATGTAGAAGACACATATCGGTTGAATGCATTGTTGTACAACTGACTAGCTATCCCTTTTTCCCTTTTCCGTTCCACACAGTGCCTGTGTCCTCAGTGGCCCGGTTAGAACAGGACAAAACCTACTGCACACTGCGACTGGGGCACAACAAGGACACTGTTAGAACAGGACACTGGGTTCTACCATAGCCATCGAGGGATTCTACTTAAGATGGAGAATCAACAGAGTGAGACCTTAAGATGGAGAATCAACAGAGTGAGACCTTAAGATGGGGATTTCAACAGAGTGAGACCTTAAGATGGAGAATCAACAGAGTGAGACCTTAAGATGGAGAATCAGCAGAGTGAGACCTTAAGATGGAGAATCAACAGAGTGAGACCTCAAGATGGAGAATCAACAGAGTGAGACCTTAAGATGGAGAATCAACAGAGTGAGACCTTAAGATGGAGAATCAACAGAGTGAGACCTTAAGATGGAGAATCAACAGAGTGAGACCTTAAGATGGAGAATCAACAGAGTGAGACCTTAAGATGGAGAATGAAGCATGACATGCAAAGATGAGAAGGGATGAGATCATAGTGTAATTACTTGTATCAATGTGTGTGTGTGGGTGTGTGTGTGTGTGGGTGTGTGTGTGTGTGTGTGCGTGTGTGTGTGTGTGTGGGTGTGCGTGTGGGTGTGCGTGTCTGTGTGTGTGTGTGCGCGTGTGTGTGTGTGTGTGTTTGCACGTGTATCACCTGGAGTCTGGGGGTAACATGTACAGGGACCAGGTATCTCTCTTTCGACACCACTCTGGCTGTTTCCGCTCCAGCCAGCGTAACAGCCTGGCGAAACGACCCATGACCTCCTCCTCTGCCGCGTCGTCCTCTGTGTTGTCCTCCAGGGAGAGCTGTGTCGGGGCCCCCCCAGGGGCCAGAGTTCCTTTCCCATTACAGTCACTGTGTTCTGGGGCTCTCAGGCCTCCTAGCGAGGGGGGTCTGGAGCTGTGCATACTGGTTGAGCGATACAGGAAGGGCACCTAGAGTTTTACAACCATGGTTAACACAGTCATGTATAGGTACTTGAAGGCATTTTAAAACACTGAAGAAAGCTGTTCTATCCAGTGATAGCTGCATAAAATGGACTATCAATACAATTAGGTCAGTGTTTAGGGGGACAGGTCTATAGATCCCCTGGTGTGTGTGTGTGTGTGTGTGTGTGTGTTTGTGTATGTGTTTGTGTATGTGTGTGTGTGTTCACCTGTAGCATTGTGTCGGGGGCCAGGTCTATGGACCCCCTGGTCTCCACAGACTCCATCCTCCTGTGTCGGTGTTGGGACTGGGACATGGAGTCGGTACGACACAGGGACTCATCATCTCCCTCCGAAGTCCCCCCTCCTACCCCCTCCTCATCCTCCGAACTGGACCCACCCTCTCCGGAGAGGAGCGACCGCCGTTCGCCAGACTGACGCTTTGTTCGTTTGAGCGAGGGGGCACGGCCTACGCTGTTCCAGCTTGATCTACGGCTGGTCCAGCCACTGGCAGAGCTCCACGGGGCGTAAGGGGAGATACTACGGGCACTGGTCTGGAGAGAAAAAGATGGAGGGTGGAGAGAAAGAGAGAAGGTATGAACAACAAAAAAAAGCTTCCCTTTTTAGGGAAGGATTGTAACATTTGGGGAACTTTTGTAACCCTTGGGGAACTATTTTAACCCTTAGAGATCTTTAGTAACTAAATAAAAAACTACAGTACATTACATTTCATTACAGGTCGTCTTATTCATCAGATTCTCCTCAATGCCATGTTGTGTTGCTGTCTTAGGTCTCTCTTTAGTAGTGTTGTGGTATCTCTCTTGTCATGATGTGTGTTTTGTCCTACATTCTTAACTTTTTATCCCAGCTCCCGTCCCCGCAGGAGGCCTTTTGCCTCTTGGTAAGCCGTCATTGTAAATAAGATTTTGTTCTTAATTGACTTGCCTAGTTAAATAAAGGTAAAATAAAAAATGAAAAATAAATATAATTAAATCATGCTAAGTGGTCATTACTATAGCTGTTATCATTGTAGCTTGCATCAGTCAAAACTGGCATCAGTCATAACTGGCATCAGTCATAACTGGCATCAGTCATAACTGGCAACAGTCATAACTGGCATCAGTCAGAACTGGCATCGGTCATAACTGGCATCGGTCATAACTGACATCGGTCATAACTGACATCGGTATAACTGACATCAGTAAGTACTCAGAGAGTTAAGATGATGACAGGTCATATTAATCATCATGAATCATCATAAATGTAACTTGAACATCATCCAGACAGGTTAGACTGAATATCTCCACTCTTAGTTGTTCAGAGAGGAGGCACAGAGCCTAATTCATGGCTTCCTGGGAGGATCCAGTTGATTGATGATGTACTAGTGTACTAGCAGAATACACTAACCGGAGACTTGTCATAGCAGGCTAGGTCCATGGAGATGTTACTGCCTCGTCGGGACTCGTAGCCCATAGCAGGGTCACCCACGGCAGGCAGCTTGGGAACGGGCATGGGGGTGGCAACAGTGTGGGTGATCAGAGGAGGGGTCAGACTGGTCTTCAGGTCAACATGACCGTTTATAGGGACTACTGGAGGGGAGAGGGAGGTGGAGAGAGGGAGGAGAGAGAGAGAGAGAGGAAGGAGAGCGAGAGGAAGGAGAGAGAGAGGAAGGAAAGAGAGAGGGAGGAGAGAGAGAGGAAGGAAAGAGAGAGGGAGGAGAGAGAGAGGGAGGAGAGAGAGAGGGAGGAGAGAGAGAGGGAGGAGAGGGAGGAGAGACAGAGGGAGGAGAGAGAGAGGGAGGAGAGAGAGAGGAAGGAGAGTGAGAGGGAGGCGGAGAGAGGGAGGAGAGAGAGAGGAAGGAAAGAGAGAGGGAGGCGGAGAGAGGGAGGAGAGAGAGAGGAAGGAGAGAGAGAGGGAGGAGAGGGAGGAGAGACAGAGGGAGGAGAGAGAGAGAGAGAGGGAGGAGAGAGAGGAAGCAGAGAGAGAGGGAGGAGAGAGAGAGGAAGGCGGGAGGGAAAGGAGGAAAGGTGAAACGAGGATGGACAAAAAGAGAGAGAGGTAGAGAAAGAAGGGGCAGTGAAAGAAGGGGGGGGGACATGGGAAGGAGAGAGAAGGGGGAGACCCAGTTATAAGAGTATATCTAATGTAAGAAGGAGGAGCAGTTTAAATATGGATGTCTTACTGTTCTCCACCACATCAATATTTCATGCTATCTCTAATCTGACAAGAAGTATGCATGGGGGAATATTATTTTCAACAGCCAGATGAAGGCATGACAGAGAGAGGACGAATGCATCTCAGTTGGTGTACGTCTTTAAAATTCTGTCTTCCTCCCTCAGTCTCTTCCTCTCGCCAACTCCTTCTCTCTCTCTCTCTCTCTCTCTCTCTCTCTCTCTCTCTCTCTCTCTCTCTCTCTCTCTCTCTCTCTCTCTCTCTCTCTCTCTCTCTCATTTTACATTTTTTTACATTTTAGTCATTTAGCAGACGCTCTTATCCAGAGCGACTTACAGTTAGTGAATACATATATATTTTTAATACTGGTCCCCCGTGGGAATCGAACCCACAAACCTGGTGTTGCAAACGCCATACTCTACCAACTGAGCTACATCCCTGCCGGCCATTCCCTCCCCTACCCTGGACGACACTGGGCCAATTGTGCGCCACCCCATGAGTCTCCCGGTCGATTCGAACCAGGATCTCTAGTGGCACAGCTAGCACTGCGATGCAGTGCCTTAGACAACTGCGCCACTCGGGAGACACATATATGTATATATATATACAGTGTTGTAACAATGTGCAAATAGTTAAAGTACAAATGGGAAAATAAATAAACATAAATATGGGATGTATTTACAATGGTGTTTGTTCTTCACTGGTTGCGCTTTTCTTGTGGCAACAGGTCACAAATCTTGCAGCTGTGACGGCACACTGTGGTTTTTCACCCAGTATATTAGGGAGTTTATCAAAATTGGTTTGTTTTCGAATTCTTTGTGGATCTCTGTAATCTGAGGGAAATATGTGTCTCTAATATGGTCATACATTTGGCAGGAGATTAGGAAGTGCAGCTCAGTTTCCACCTCATTTTGTGGGCATTGTGCACATGGCCTGTCTTCTCTTGAGAGCCAGGTCTGCCTACAGCGGCCTTTCTCAATAACAAGGCTATGCTCACTGAGTCTGTACATAGTCAAAGCATTTCTTAAGTTTGGGTCAGTCACAGTGGTCAGAACTTTTGCCACTGTGTACTCTCTGTTTTTCCTCCAACCCCGCTTTCTATCAATTTGTATAGCTGACCCTCATGCCAAATTGAGTCAAAAGCTTTTTTGAAATCAACAAAGAATGAGAAGACTTTGCCTTTGTTTTGGTTTGTTTGTTTGTCAATTAGGGTGTGCAGGGTGAATACGTGGTCTGTTGTACGGTAAATTGGTAAAAAGCCAATTTGGCATTTGCTCAGTATATTGTTTTCACTGAGGAAATGAACTAGTGTGCTGTTAATGATAATGCAGAGGATTTTCCCAAGGTTGCTGTTGACGCATATCCCACGGTAGTTATTGGGGTCAAATTTGTCTCCACTTTTGTTGATTGGGGTGATCAGTCCTTGGTTCCAAATATTGGGGAAGATGCCAGAGCTAAGGATCATGGTAAAAAGTTTAAGTATAGCCAATTGGAATTTGTGGTCTGTATATTTTATCATTTCATTGAGGATACCATCAACACCACAGGACTTCTTGGGTTGGAGGGTTTGTATTTTGTCCTGTAGTTCATTCAATGTAATTGGAGAATCCAGTGGATTCTGGTAGTCTTTAATAGTTGATTCTAAGATTTGCATTTGATCATGTATATATTTTTTGCTGTTTGTTCTTTGTTATAGGGCCAAAAAGATTGGAGAAGCACAGTGACTGAATGGAGGGGCAAAGGGAGGAATGGAGGGGCAGGGAGGGAGGGAGAGCGAGAGAGAGAGAGAGGAGAGAGAGAGAGAGAGAGAGAGGAGGAGAGAGAGGAGAGATAGAGAGAGACCTGAGAACACAGCAGGAAAGGGTGGCCACAGCACTCAAGGGAGTGATAGAAAAGTTATTCTACTTCCGCAAAAGCACAAGGGTATTCACCCTGTACCCAAAATCAGGTAAA